TGAAGTTCATTCTCCTGTTTCTGAAATTCCTTTTCTCATTCTTGAGATTCTTTCTTATGTTTCTGAAGCTCACTAATCTCTGCAACAGCCACTTGATATTTGTTTTTCCATGCCTCTGACTCATGTTGCGATTTCTTTAAGGCAACCTCCAATTTCTCAGCATCAGACATAAAAACATAAATAGGCTCTCTCTTCGGAGGTATAGGGTCTTGACGAGAATAAGGCATCCTCAGCTTGATTGCCCTGTCTCTTACCCACTGGAGATATGGTTATAAAGATACACAATTAGGCCTCCCCAGGCTGCTTTTCCCCTTCTTGTACACACTACGCCATGCATCCAAAACCTTTCCTCGAAGCTCCACATCATTGTGGAAGAAAATACTCTTTACATGGGAACTTTTAGGAGGTCCCTTCAACGGGTATCCCAACTGTCGACGAGCTAAAACGGGATTGTAGCTGATTCCTCCATCAAAACTGAGCAATAGTACATTACCAAAGCTACCACAACTATCAATGATTAATACCCCATCATATACTCGATTGTACCAATCAATGTCAGAATGGGTCAATGCCATAACCCTAGGAGACCAAAGTTCTTTGCCAACATTTGTAAGAGAGCTAGACTTTGGCAAGTGCGAAATAAACCACTTGTAAAATAAGGGTACACAACAAGTAATCATCCCTCCACTATGAAGGTTTCGGAGATGTATAGAGTGATATGTATTACCCAACAAAGTCGGCACTGGGTTGTTCTTCATAAAGATCTTAAATGCCTTGAGATCGATGAAACCTTCAAAACTTGGAAATAGAAATATCCCATAAACAAGTAAGGCAAAAATTGCCTCGAACTGAGCCTTGTTCGAATGATTAGCATAAAATAAAGCTTTCTCGACTAGGAAACCTGTCTTTAAACCAACAATTCCATCCTTGGTAACCATGTTGGCCTTGACGTCAGCTACCTTTAAACGGAGGGCCTTAGCAATATCTTTCTCATCAGGGTCCTTTTCCAAGAAAGGAAAAGGAGATTCTTCCAGAATAGGTAGACCCACCAAAAAGGAGTACTCTTCCAATGTAGGTAACAACTGAAAATCTGGGAAGGTGAAACAATGATAAAGAGGATCATAAAACTGTAGTAGAGTGGCAAGAAGTCCTTCATTCACTGTGCGACCCAATAAAGATATCAGCCTCCCATATTTGTTCTTGAATTCTTCTTGATCCTTGATAAAGCCCCACAATTTATTTAGGTCATCCAATTTGGGACTCTTAAAAGTATATTTCACAGTACGTATTTCATTTGAAGTCATGGTGACCTACAATGTTCATAAACGGAAGTAAATCCCATGAAGTCTAATGCAGAATGATGCTATATGAATACAGCAAACACAAGTATTCACATAAGGACACAAAGATAAACAAACAAAGGGGAACCCTAGGTTTGCAACGAGCATGGGGTAAAGGTATACCCTTTCCCAAAGGTTATGGACTAAAGGTTGTTTGTACCTGTAGAACAAGGTTCTAAGGGGACTCAAAGTCATCAGCCCGTCTTTCGGATATTATCAATTTCTCAACTAACTCGAGGATTAATAATATCCTTAAGAGAACTTCTTTTGAGTGTAGCTTCGCGTAGCACTATTTCGGGAGTACTCCCTCATAGTATCGCACTACGTCCTAATAAAGGCCAAAGTTGGGTTAAGGTAACTACGGTCCTCAATATCATAGGCTCCAAGGTCGAAAATAGTGAGTGTCTTCACGATTACTCGTTCAACAGTATTATTTCGAGAGGGCCTCAATTGAGCGGGATTCTCGATTTAACTTAGTCAGGATTCAACTCCCTATAAGCCTCGTCGAATATATCACCATCCTATCTTAATTTCTCTCAAGTTCGGGTGTAGAACTTTATCTCACCACTCAAGGATAACAATCCCAAAAGAAACACAAGGGAAAGCATATAAACAATTAATCAAGTAGGCAGATATATAAAGCAGTAAACAAATAAAATAAGATAGGGAAACCCACTGAGAGGTCCCCAGTGAAGTCTCAATTTCTGTCGCGGTGAAAATCGGATACCAAACTATTGATTAGTTTGAATCTTTAATTCATTTTTGCAGCCGAACTTTGATTTGTCCAAAGGAAGGGATAAAGATCGAAATTCCCACAATGCAATGCAAATGCAAGGTTTTGAGAGTTATAGGTTTGGGGGTTGGTTAAACTTAGGGAAGGTACTAGCATCCTAAGTTTCTGTAGTACTCTACAGGAACCTCTTGTTTTACGTTTGTTTATTGCTAAGTGTTTTTTATCTGCTTAATGGTTGAAAGACCTAGTGGTTTATTTCTAAGTATACTCGATAAGATATTGCATCTTATGCCTACATATCCTTACGGGAGTGGAATCAGAGTATCTGCAGTTCCCCTAAAGGGTTGGAGGAGTTCCTTGACTGTGGTCAAAGTTCCTACGGGTTTAGGATAGTTGGTTGATTGATTTTAGGAGAAGAGATGTGTTATCATTTTAAGAGAGATTTAACCGCCACAGGTTGTAGGAAAATAGTCTTTGCATCGTCTTAAGAAAAGGACTTACGTACTCGGATAGGGATCAACGAGGTACACCTTTATCTCTCTTAAGGCAAAGTCCCTACATATTGATTGTATTGTTGTGGGGTGGAGATTCCATCTCGCTTAAGATGATTTGGCATCTTTTCTCTACTGTGTTTGAATATTTGTTGTTTTGAATTGATTGTTTGTATTGTGTTGTTGATTGTTTTTATTTCTATGTTGTAAGATAAAAGACAAGGTCCTCCTATGGGGTAGGATCTATCTTAAGTAATTGACTTGAATGGGATCAAGGATCGAGGGGAGAATGATGCAAATGTGAGTGCACTACACACGATTTGTTGAATCATGTGTAGGATTTTCCTTTGGACGGATGCAATGCGATGAAATAAATTACGATAATGTAAATTACTGTAAAATAAATTGCGGAAATGATAAAGCCATACACATACGAATGAAAGCGCTGAAGTGTGTGAGAGTGAGTGTGTGGTGGGGTGCACGATTAGATCGAGTTTTACGACGTTTGCTTGATTTTTAGGAGCGGAGTTGAATTGATTTTTTGTTAGATTGATTTATAAGAAAATGTAGATTTAGGTGAATTGATTTGTAAGCGAGAAGTCGGTATAAATTAAATTCTAAGTTTTTTTTAATAAAATACCATAATGATTTACTTTATTATAGCTATTATTAAAATATGTTGGTTATAGAATAAAAATAGTTTTTATTATTCGTTTTTTTAAAAGTTAATTAAATGCTCAGAATTTATTCAAATAAATAAATTAACAAGTAGGTGTGATTTATTTATAAAAGGTTTTTAGTGAATAAATACTTATTTGATTAAAATGTTATTAAAATGAAAAAGGTTAAATTAATTAATTAGAAAAATAATTTAATAATGAATTGATAAGATTTTTTTTAAAGGTTGTTTTTAGTTATTTAAAGAGATTATGAGATTGGTTTAAATTGGGATTAATAAATGGGTAAATAGGATGAATTATTTAGACTAATTAAATAAATAGTTAAAAAGAAAAAAGAAAAAAACTAATTTGATTAATTAAAGAGTTACTGATTTATTTTAAAAAAAAAGGTTAATTAGTTAATTAATGAAGGTTAGATTAATTAGAGTGATTAAACGCGGTTAGTGTGAAAGGTGTGTGTGTGTGTGTAGTGTAAGTGATTACAACATAACCACAGATTAACAACATAGAGAAAAAAACGATGAACCCTAATTCCCTGAACGAATCCCCAAATTCCCCATTTCGATCTCTCGTTTCCGCCCTTCCTCTTCCGTCGTCTCCGTTCATTTTCGATTCAAACATATCTTCGCTTTTCCTTCTTCTTTTCCGTTTTCATTTTCGTTTTAAACCTGCAACAACACATCAAAGCATCAATGGCACAAGAAATTTTAACATGGATGATGGTTTTACCGGGATTTGGGAGTGGCGGCTGGTGATGAGGTTCCGTCGATTGGTGCTTGCGGCGGTCGGAAGCGATTTCGCTTGCTCACTGAGATAAGTCACCTCGCTCAATTTTTCGGTAGCTGCGATTTCCGTATGATGGTTTTTTTTCGTGAATCCTTTTCTCCTCTTCTCATTCGTCTTATATAGGCTTCAATTGGGATTTTCTGTGTTAAAGTCTGATTAAAACCAAATTGAATGTTGATTGATGATTGATTTGGGGTTTTCTATCTTGGTTTGAAGAGGGTTTAAAATCTTTCCTTTTTCGGTGATTGTAATAATATGAGTGTTAAATCTCTGATTTTGTGTATCAATCGTTTGGTCCTGAATCTTCCAATTATTCCATGAATATTCCCTCTATCGGTTATTCTCCCAACAACTACTAATTTGGGTTTGATATTTGACAGGTGTGAATATTGAAGGAGTTGGGCCCAGAGAAGTTAACAGCCCAGAGGGGGGAATTCGTGTTTGACGCGTTTGGCGAGGCCTTCACGAAAAAACCGGTAACGGATAACAGCGGTCTCAGGTGTTTGCAGGGTAAACCTTTCAATCTCTGTCTCTATTTTTCTGGTTGTCTTTTTCGAAATGATGCGTATCTGAAACTCTCTTATTTCATGTACTTTGGTGATGATGATCGGGGGACCTGGAGAATGTTTGATATGCTTGAGGGAGGAGGTAAAGAAAATCCCTGTTCTTGTTTGAATGGTGCTTTTTCAGAGTCAAAATGACCTAGTAACTCAAGAAGGAGTACACCGAGGCAGTAGATGTTTGATGATGTTGTGCAACCTCCCTCAAGACTTGCGTACCACTTATTTCCCATCTTTCACATAAAGATGTAGATGAAAATTCACCTGTATTAGATACACAAGGGATGCTAGACATTCTCCCTAAATTATACGGAGAAAATCGGTTATTTTTCTCATATTGTGGAATTTGAACTTTATGATGACTAGCATCCTCAACACACAAGTCACTCCCAGTAACCCTCAAACTCTCATCAATTTTTTTGTTTCTTGGACTCCATATCAATAGAGGAAGATGTTACTTGCTCAGACACCCTTTTTCTATTAAAAGAATTATCTAAGTCAAGAACTTCAGGATTTACAACACTGTCTGCCGTCTGTTTTTGAGTAGGTAACCCAATGTACATGACCTGATTTGATGGTAACAATTTAATGTAAGATGGACAAAGGTTATGCAATGCAATTCCCCGAGAGTGAGAGTCATCCACCAAATCCACTATCTTTCTAAATATAGTAAAGCTTTCCACTTTTCCTCCTTTGCGCTGGCCAGATTTTAACCATTCTCTCAATGTTACGCCGTCACATTCAGACATGCTAGACATAGGCACAGAAGCATCGCTGTGAAACGGAAAGTTTGCAGTTTTGGAATCATACTTGACTGATTTATTAGAGTTTGACTGAGCACCAATACCAGTCTTCATTTGTTTCTGATCTATACCAGTGTTGGTCTTCATTTCATTCTGATTGGCGCCAATGCTAGTCTTAATCCAATTCTGATTTGCACCACTGCCAGGTTTTACCTGATTTTTCTCTTTAGGTTGAACATAGAAGCGATCCGAAGATGGACCTTTATGTACAACACCCTTACTCTTCAATGAATTTTTAATAAGATACTCAACAAACCCTGATTTGGATAATACTTTTGTCCGCATTCCTCGATGAATATCACATGCACCCTCTTTACTCTCAGCAGCTGCCAAGTGTTCAATGACATTGCTCTGACCATCACTATGTGATTTTCTAGCTAATAACTCTGGAAAAGATGTGGATCCAATATCTTCCCAAGCACTAGATGTAGCCTGGCCACTACTTATCAACCCAATATCAATTAATGAATTTCCATTTCCAGAATTATTTGTCATCTGATAAAGATTCTGCCAATGTTTCTGTTGATTATTAATCATTTGCACTTGACTATTTGATCTACCAATATCAAAGCTCGAACCGTTGTAACTTTTTACCGTTAGTTCCTCAACCATCGCATAAGGATGCTGCGACGTAGCCGCTTCACTAACAGCCTCAACTAGATTTTTACCTTGCAGAATAGCATTATATTCCAGTGGTTGTTGTGATTTTACAAGCTTTCGGCTATCTATTTTCGGTGAATACACATCATCCTCTTTGGTCTGGCGCTGTGAATCCTCAGAAGCCTCTAATTGAATTCTCTCATTAACCAAATCTTCATCCATAACTAATAACTTTGTCAATTACGTAAGCTCCATATTTAGCAATCAACACACAAACTAAAAATGAACGCGATTATTTGATAATTTTGTGGAAGTGAAATAAGTCGGTGTGTGAAGGAAGAAGACGCGCTGTCAAGTCTCACCACACACATGAATGAATGAGAATAGCGAAGCAGAAACAAGTATTGGTCAAGGCATAATGGAAAGATGCGTATACTCAGTGTTAACTCCCTTTAATTAAGTTCTCATTGATCATCTTGGTAAACATGTTGTTTTAACTGATTTTATGCCGAAACCGTATTTATCCAAACTCGCCAATATCGTCTTTTGACAACGTGTAATTTTGATGTAGGTGTTTTAAGGCTTGGACAATTTGGTTATTGACAATGTTGTTGGCCTACCAGATGTAGTTGAAGATCTTGAAGTAGCAGGAGATGGACCTCGTGACAATGAAATTCTCCTACTGCTATTTGTTGAAGAACCTAGTCTTGTCATTGCTGCATGATTCCTAGAAACTACATTGCTTCTTGAAGTAGGTTCTATTTGGGTATTCAATACCTTTGGTTTTAAATCAGTTGAACGAGAATTGCGTGTCTCCGTTTCACTCTTTGATGAAATTGCGATTCCCTGTCCAATGTAGGGGAAAGTGGTGTATCTGGCGGAGTAAAAAGCCATTCACAAACAGACTTGTCATTCTCTGAATTCAAGAACTCTTCAACCACTGTCTTCTCTGGTTCCTATGTAGTATGAACATATCCATTTAGATTAATGTTATTGTGAATAAAAAATCTAGCTTGTAATTCTTGAGGAACTAAACTTCAGATTGTATGTCTTTTTGAACCATGAATTGTCTAAGTTATGTAGCCTCGCTCGCTGGAAGTAAATGAATAAGAGCCTTTTTTTTAATTGAAAATTGTATCCACAATAATCCAAGAACTTCGTATTGCGGCTTCAAACTTGTAATTTTAGGCTGGCATTCAAACCATAAAAGTCTTCCAAACCTTCACCTTCAAAAGAATCTTCTAAAATTTCTCTTGAAGTGTGGATGTAAAGAAAAAAGTAATTAGCAAGCTGTCGTGACGACGTTTCTTTTGTCTTGTAAATTTCGAAATCTCAAAGATAAACCTCAAATGTTCCCCCAAATGACCTTGCCCTAAACCGTGTCCTGAGAGATTTTGCTTCAAATTCTTCTTGCCACAAAACCAAAAAACCAGGCCCAAATGACTAGGCTCATCCCCAAAGAAAATCCATTTCTCTTCATGAGTACGTATCGAAGCTTTTAAGAGATACCGAAAAAAACTCCAGACTCAATCTGAATCAAGCCTAGATGACCCTGTCTTTGAAATTGTGAGAATGAATGATGGTCCACTTAAAATGACTGCATACGCACAAATTGGTTAGCCTTAGAAAAATATAAATATTAAAATAAAGTTAGAAAACACGCAAAAGAGGTGGGATCTTATGGCAACAATGTGTATGATAGTATGTGCGGTGTGTAACTACGCTTTAGCATGTGTATTTCACCGCTTATTTATTGAATGTAGTTCTCACCCCTTTTCTGTTTGTTGCGTCTGTGCTCTCTGGGGGGTGCAGATGACCAGGTACCTGAGTAATGCTTGGAGTGTGTTGCTATTTGATCGAGTCCTATGAGTCGCACTGATACGTAACATGGGATGACGGGATTACATTATATTTGCTTTTTTTTAATTAATTGTTACCTATCTTTTATTTGTTGGATTAAGGATGTATGGATCACCTTGTGGTGGAAATTATGTCTAAACAATTAAATATATTCTGCTGTTTATTAGAAGGCTAGATATCATTGGTTGATTTATGAAAAATGAAGTGACTTAGTGTGACATCCTACTTGCTTTGAGAACTTTGATGTACTTTTATGTAATATTACCGTATATGTTTTATAATACGCGTACAGGGTAGAGTGGGGTGTTACAATTGGTATCAGAGCAAGTCGGTCCGTTCGGTCAGTGTTGTAGTAGAGTTTGACTATAGGATGTTTATAGTCATGTGTTTTTCTAACCTGTGTTTTCGTGGATGTTGAGCAGTATGGCTCGTAGAGATGATGTTGTGATGGCTGCTGCGTTACAAGCTTTCGCGCAGGCCATGGAGAGTATTGGTCAGGATATCAATCGGAGTGCTGGAAATGGAGAATTCTGTAATTTGGAGAAGTTCCAGAATAACAAGCCACCTAAGTTCGAAGGCAGACATGATCTAGATGTAGCACATAAATGGCTGAAGGATATTGAGAAGATCTTTAGAGTCATGGGATGTTCAGAGGACCAGAAGGTACGGTTTGGTACCCATATGCTGGAAAGTGAGGTTGAGGACTGGTGGGACAACACCCGCTAGAGATTGGAAGCTGGTGAGGGTCCCATTAATTCGACAGTGTTTAGGGTAGAGTTTTTAGAACGCTATTTTCCGGAAGATGTTCGCGGAAAGAAAGAGATTGAATTCATTGAGTTGAAATAGGGGAACATGATAGTGGCAGAGTATGCGGTTAAGTTCGAAGAACTGGTAAAGTATTATCCCCATTACAATACTGATGCAGCTATGAGTTCGAAGTGCATCAAGTTTGAGAACGGGCTGCATCTCGAGATCAAACTGGGTGTCGGTTATCAGAAGATCAGATACTTTCCTAAGCTAGTGAACAGGTGTAGAATCTATGATGAAGACAACAAAGCTAGAATCACTCACTATAAGAATCTAAATGACAAAATAAGAAAACAGAGGCAGGGGAATACACCTTACCGTTCCCCGGCTGATAAAGGAAAGCAGAAAGATGTTGCTGGGAAGAAACTAAGTGGGGGAGGAAATCCTTCCAATCCTCTCAAAGTGTTTTAGATGTGGTGGTGCAGGTCACCGTGCTAATGAATGTCATAATGAGGTGAAGAAATGTTTTAAGTGTGGAAAGCCATGTCACGTGGTCGCGGATTGTAGAACCAACATACCAACTTATTACAACTATGGTGAGCATGGTCATACCAGCACCCACTGTCAGAAACTGAAGAAGTCTCAGACAAGTGGGAAGGTGTTTGCATTGGTGGGAGCTCAGGCTACCAGTGAGGATCGTTTGGTCAGAGGTACGTGTTACATTCATAACACTTATTTGATTGCTATTATTGATACGGGTGCAACTCACTCGTTTATTTCTGTGGATTGTGTGAAGAGACTGGGGCTTGTGTTGTCTACTTTGAGTAGAGGGATGATGATTGATACTCCATCTATTGGATCAATCACTACATCTCTAGTGTGTTTGAATTGCCCTGTGTTGATCTTTGGTAAAGATTTTGGAGTGGACTTGATTTGTCTACCACTCAGCGAGCTGGATGTTATTTTAGGGATGAATTGGCTAGAGAGCAACTATGTTTATGTTAATTGTTACAGAAAGAGGTTGTTATTCCTGACTCCTGAGGAAGAAGAAGTGGCTAGTCTTATATCTACCAAGGAGTTGAGAATCTGGTTGGAAGACGAAGCTAAAGTATTTGCAGTGTTCGCTTCATTATCTGTAGAAGGCAAGTCGTCGATTGATGAATTACCTCTTGTGAGAGAATTCCCTGAAGTGTTCCTGAAGGATGTTTCGGAGTTACCTCCAGAGAGAGAAATAGATTTTACGATTGATCCTGTCCCTGGTACCAGACTTATATCTATGGCACCATACAGAATGTCAGCGTCAGAATTGGCAGAGTTGAAATCTCAGTTGGGAGAATTATTGGACAAAAAGTTTATCAGACCCAGTGTATCACCATGGAGAGCGCCAGTTTTGTTAGTAAAGAAGAAAGATGGCAGTATGCGCTTGTGCATCGATTGTCGCCAGTTGAATAAAGTAACCATCAAGAATAAGTATCCACTTCCAAGAATCGACGATCCGATGGATCAACTCGTGGGAGCTCGTGTGTTCAGTAAAATTAATTTGAGGTCGGGCTATCATCAGATTCGTGTGAAAGAAGATGATATCCAGAAAACAACTTTCAGAACTCGGTATGGACATTATGAATATGCAGTGATATCGTTTGGTGTGTCCAATGTACCAGGTGTGTTCGTGGAGTATATGAATCGTATCTTCTATGCTTATTTGGACCAGTTTGTGGTAGTTTTCATTGATGACATTTTAATTTACTCCAAGTCAGAAGCAGATCATGTAGAGCATTTAAGGGTTGTGTTGCAAGTGCTGAAGGATAATAAATTCTTTGCAAAACATTCGAAGTGTGAGTTTTGGTTGAGCAAAGTGAGTTTTCTTGGACATGTTATTTCTGGGGAAGGCATAGCAGTGGATCCATCGAAAGTGAGTGTTGTGCTTCAGTGGGAGGCTCCAAAGTCAGTGACAGAGATTAGAAGTTTCATAGGCTTGGCAGGCTATTATCGTAAGTTCATCGAAGGGTTTTCTAGTTTGGCTCTTTCGTTGACCTAGTTGACTAGAAAAGGCCAGGCATTTGTATGGGATATTTTGTGTGAAGAAAGTTTCCGAGAACTGAAGAAAAGGTTGACTACCGCACCAGTGTTAACCTTACCAAATATGAATGATCCTTTTGTGGTATATTGTGATGCTTCTAAAATGGGATTAGGCGGTGTTTTGATGCAAGATGGCAAGTTTGTGGCTTACGTTTCACGATAATTGAGGATTCATGAAAGGAATTATCCTACTCATGATATAGAGTTAGCTGCAATGGTTTTCGTACTAAAGGTTTGGAGGCATTATTTGTACAGGTCGATATTCGAAGTGTTCAGTGACCATAAGAGTTTGAAATATCTGTTTGACCAGAAGGAATTAAATATGAGGAAGCAAAGATCGCTGGAATTTCTAAAAGACTATGACTTTAGCTTGAGTTACCATCCCGGTAAATCAAACGTCGTGGCGGATGCTTTGAGTCGGAAGATGATACATATGTCGACGTTGATGATTAGAGAATTGGATTTAATTGAGCAGTTTAGAGACTTGAGTATGGTATGTGAGTTAACTTCGGAAAGTGTAATGTTGGGGATGCTGA